CATTTCCTCTCTGAGAATGTCCAACCATTCACAGAGATTTTTCTATAACTCAAAAGAGCACAGAGAACCTGCAGTCAGTAGAAATGGCAATATCCACCCAGAAAATCACATCACTTTCACAGAATTCACAGAATGACTAGGTTGGAAGAGACCTTCAAGATCATTGAGTCCAACATATGCCCTAACCTCAACTAAACCATGGCACTGAGCACTACATCCAGTCTTTTTTAAACACATCCAGGGATGGTGACTCCACCACCTCCCCAGGCAGGCCATTCCAGAACTTTATCACTCTTTCCATAAAAACCTTTTCCTAATATCCAACCTATACCTCCCCTGACATGGTTTGAGACTATGTCGTCTCATTCTGTCAGTAACTCATTCTGTCTATGGGGAACAGATGAAAAACAGCTGTGAGATTTTTGAGTTTGAAAGCTTGAAATGAGCAGGGCACAGACCTCTGGGTCAGGCTGTTAGATCTTAGTCTGCTGCTCAGTGAGGTGAGAGGATTACATCATCTTTTGGTACCTGCTGCCCACTCCCACCCCTGATACCTCTGACAAAGGAACCAACTTTCAATTCTGAACACTGATTCTCCATTTACAAAAATAAGGCAGGAGATGGACTGACGTGACAAAACAACTTGTGTGTATTCTTGTGCTGTTTATACTTGAGCAGATGAACAGAAGCAATTTATTAGTGTAAAAACAGGAATCTGTTAAGAACAGCATTAGGGCAAACAGCAAAATATGAAAACTCTGCTAATTAATAGGATGTTGCTATTTAGCAGAAATTATTCACAAGTCAGCACTTTGCTCTTTATGTGATCTGTTTTTCCAAATAGCTTCAAACAATACTTAATATTATTTTCAGAATAGGTTACCAAGAATGCGAAGAATTCACGTAATTGGTTTCTAGGAGGAGAGAATTTGTGTTGCAAAAGAGAGAGGGGATTTCTTATCTCTTTGATAGATCCTGCACTTGCACCATCTCTGAGTGATTGATACACCATCAGCTCTGCAGGGTTGTGACTGCTCAGTATACAAAAGAGAATGTGACTAAAACAGTACAAGTAATGTATGGGTTTCATATCAGAAAAAAAGAGACCTGGTACCAAAATGTGTCAAGGTGCTGGCATATTCTGTTCCAGATACGCATCTGGCTTCTGGCTCATTTTGCACCATTGAGTGAGCTGCTTCTCTTCCACCTCATTGAGAGCCAACAGGAAAGTCATGGCCTAGGATCACCAGGATCCCATAAAAATTACTTGCTGCTTTCCAAATTTCCACCCTTTCCTTTTTTTTTTTTTTTTTTTTTTTAATTAGGAAGTTAGCCAGAAATCTTGAAGGTTATCTTGCAAAGCAGAGGAGTCAAAACTCAAAGTGATTTTTTTTCCTTAAAGGAGACACAGCAGTATGTTAGGCACCTACAATGGAAAATATGAATGTTAAGCTACAGAAAATCTGATGTGAAAGACTGAGGTTAAAAAAAGTCAAAGAAGATCTCCAGTCTAAGCTGCTGGCTTTTGAATTGCGGACACAAACCAGAGGAAACTCTTCTGCCAAGTAAAATGACTGGGGAATAAGCAAATAGAATGATTTGTGAAATCTGGCATTTTTTAAATCATGGAAGAATGAAAAAAAAAAATTAAATTAAACCATGCAGTCAAACAGAGTGGTATTCTGACCCCAAAGCTTACTTCCCATTTGCATGCTGACTATTTGTAAGGAGTTGCAGATTACCTAATTGCCTGAATTAAAAAATTGTGACATTGAAAAGAAATATTTTCTTTATGAGCCTCTAAGGGTCTTTTTCATGTCATTTTCATACATGGAACCTTTGAATGAAGTACTTGAAAAAAACAAACCCAAAACCTTAAGATACTACTGAGCTCACCTGTTCAGCACTGGCAGGAAAGCTTCATAAATTATGTCAAGTTGGAAGACACCCATCAGGATGATTGACTCCAACTCCTGGCCCTGCACATGACACTTCAGCAGTCACACCATGTGCCTGAGAGCATTGTCCAGACACTTCTTGAGCTGTGTTGGGCCTGGTGCTGTGACCACTTCCCCAGGGAGCCCCTTCCAGTGCCCAATCACCCTCTGGGTGAGAACATTATTATTGATATTCAACCTAAACGACCCTTGACACAGATTGTCACTGCTCCCTCGGTCTTGTCACTGGTCATCATGGAGAAGAGATCAGTGCCTGCCCCTCCTCTTCCCTTCATGAAGAAGCTGTAACTGCAATGAGGTCTCCCCTCAATCTCCTCTGCTCCAGTCTGAACAGACCAAGTGACCTCAGTCTCTCCTTGTAAGTCTTCCCCTCAAGGCCCTTCACTATCTTTGTTCCCCTCCTTTGGATGCTTTCTAAGAGCTTGACATCTTTTTCATATTGTGGCACCCAAATCTGCCCCCAGCACTGGAGGTGAGGCTGCCCCAGCTCAGAGCAGAGCAGGACAATCCCCTCCCTTGCCCGCTGGCCGTGCTGTGCCTGAGGCCGCCCAGGACAGGGTTGGCCCTCCTGGCTGCCAGGGCACTGCTGGCTCATCTTCAACTTGCCATGGACCAGGAGCCCCAGGTCCGTTTCCATGGGGCTGCATTCCAGGCTCTCATTCCCTGGGCTGTCCATACATCCAGGGTTGCTGTATCCCAGGTGCAGAACTCTGGTATTTTTATCCCAAGGACCATTCCATCTCTTACCCTCCAGGTCTTCTGGAGATGCAATTAGTTTACTAATCTGCACAATGTCTGGAGGATTTGGAGCCTGCATAAGCATTAGGTCCACTTTTTCCTTCAACTTCTTTTTCTTTCTGTTGCTCCTGTAGCTGTCTCTGGAGCTGTTCTATTTTGAAGCACAGTAGTAATTCAGTTCCTTTCCATCTCAGTTTTCAGTCCTTGTTTGTCTTTAATATTATCTTTTCTATAGTGGCAGGCAGCTTCTGGAAAGGCATCTAACACTTTGCAAATGATCACTTTCTTTTTCCCAGCCTTTATACATCCCCTAGCAACTTAGTGTTCCTCCACAGCTTTCTAATCACACCACTTATCCTGAGCCATTTGTCTGAGAACTTAGGATTTGGATTTCTTCAATGCTTTTGTTAGTAGTCAGTGCTTGCAAACCTGCTGACTACACCAATTTTTGGTGGATGTGTGTTTTAAGGTTACTTAAATCACTGGCAAAGGTATCATCAAAAACAGGTTTAATATAGAAGTAAAAGCATAACGGAGTTCTTTGGCAAGGCTCACTCTACTACTTAGCAGATGGTTTAAAAAGGCAAACAAAAAACCAGTATCAATTAATCCAGACCAAAAATATCCCCAAAGTATCTCCATGGAGTACTGCAGCCCCTGACACATGGTGAGGACACCACCTTCCTTCCTCAGGGCTTTACCCAGGAGCTGCTGGGCAATCGACCGGCCCTCACTCCTGACCTTTAATACACAAGGAGACAACACGCAAAAGATTTTTCAAAAATCATTCCACTCTAATCATATACAAATCAGAACAGTTGTAAAAGAGACTAATCAAAATATTGGAAATTGAATATTTTCCCTGCAGATTTCTGTGAACCAACATTTTACCTACTGCAGCAGAAAATTTTGAGGTCAAGTTTCTTCAGCAAAGCAGAAAAATGTAAAAGAATGTTTGCCTGAATTGCTACATATCATTTGTCTATAAAACACTCATTAACTGTATTGTCATCTTTCTCTGCAATTTCTATGGGCTGTTTTGGCCACCTAAAACAGCTAAGTTCATATTACAAGGACAATGACAGAGTTTGAATTCAGAAGAAAAATAGTAGAAGACCGCGGTTCTCCTGGTTTCAGTGCATTTTAATGTGAATTTATAATAAGGGTTCTAGGCTACTTCCTAATTCTCCGGATGTTATCAATAATCATTTTTAAATGTATTTACTCTAGGAATTAATTTGGTTTGATCACTGAGAATGTCTCTGCTTCTCTTCTGTATGGACTGTGACAGATTCAACACAGAACAGTTCTTTTCATTGTGAACTAGAGGGAAAACTTGTGTGCTGACACACATCAGCCTTGTGAATACTGCTCCAGAGCTGAAAGCAACTCACTTCTCTCAGCATCTTGCAATTCTGCTTACAGCATAACACTTCAATGCATTTCTCCCACCTTCACTCTCTACAGTGTCTCTAGAGGGTGAGAAAGACCCCAGGGCACGAGCTGCTCAGTTTGTCCCCAAACCCACTTTGTGCTTACTTTAGAATAAGCAAGACCTTTTAAAAATCAATGGCTTCTGCATGACATTTATAAGCAAGAGATGATGCTCCCTCTTCCAAAAGGGCTGCTGAGTGCTTTAGGTGGCTGTTACTATAAAAATATTCCATACTGAAAACTACCATATGGTTTTCTAGAAACCTGCTCCATCCCAATGTGGCACTCTGATATTTCATTGCTCTGTCTGCTTCCCCATGTGACATGTGCAGAATCTAAGAAATTGCTTGTGTGCTATTCACGCCTCCATTCAGCACTGTGCTTGCTCTCCTTCACTTCCTCCAACATTTAACAGTGGCTTATAGAGACACGTATGGCATTAGGAAATATTTCTCCCATTGCACTACTTTGCATTTGCCTTCTGTTTTCTTGGCAAACAGGGAATTTTTCTCAGGGGCAGCTTTGCACAAGTAGCTGTGTTAAGCTCTGTTCATACTGCTTCAGGACAAAGATAGACTATTCCAGCGTTTTCTTTGGAGTGAGGATTTGGAGGTGCATTAAATAATGAGAGATTTTAATGGATGCCTTGAAGGCTCTAAAGCCAGAGAAAGAGAAGAACTGCATCATTTCATATCTCCAGCTTAACTGATGCCTTTCCCCTTTCAAAATATAAGATATTAGCAAGTCATCTGGTTCAAGAGCATCAGTTCATGGAAGGAATGGATACCCACCAATGAGGACAGAACAACTGCAGGGGGAAAAAACCATCCCATCTGTTCATGAACATAATTCCCTTGTTTTCTGTTCCAGCTTATCCTTGCCACGTGGGAAGGCGGCTACAACTTGCAATGCCAGAACCTCCACAGCGCAGGGGAGGCCGATATCCGGGTGAGAGACAAAAGCAGCTCAGCCCTCAGCACCCTTTCTGTTTTAACTGTATTTATGACTGTCCTAGGATGTATCCTGAGCTCTGATAAAATATCTCTACTCTAGAGGAGGGCAGATTTCATTGCACTGAGTATCAAATTTAGATTTCTTCAAAAGAAGAATCTGGCAGCAAAATCTGTTCAGTGTCGAGAAATAGTAGATTGTTCAGTAAAAAAACTGAACTATCACAAAATGAAGCAAAAACCCACCCACAAAACTACACCTTTGGAAAAAAACCCCCAACAAAACAATTAGAAAACCCTTCCTCAAGTGTTACGTTTCTTAAATTATAATTTAATTATATTATAATTTAAGAATATATATATTATATAATATATATATTATATAATATATATAATTTTGATAATTATATATTACAATTTTCTAAAAGACATTTTTTATAAAACTGCTTTTGAAAACTCATTGAAAAGCAAAATAAAATTGAAGACAGACCTTGTGCTTCTCCTTTAATAGCATATTAATGCCTTCTGGGAAGTCACACGCTAGGGAGTGAAGCAGTAATATTTAAGCAATTGTATGGACAGATATTGATCTCCTGCTCCTTTGTTCTTGCTTGTACAGGTAGCCAAGGTGCTGTGGTGGTATTATTTTTCCAAAGTAATTGAATTCATGGACACTATCTTCTTTGTACTGAGAAAGAAAAGCAACCAGATCACCTTCCTTCACGTGTATCACCATGCCACTATGTTTAACATTTGGTGGTGTGTTCTGAACTGGATACCTTGTGGGCAGAGTAAGTCTTTGTTTGCTTCATCACCCTGGGTCTAAGTCAGCTGCAGCTGGGGAGGAATCACGTCACCATACAAAGGAATTGTGCCACTGTGCAATATGAGGGCACCTTTAGGGTTCTGAGCCTTTCAGACCACCTGCAGAACACAGGAAAGTTAAAAGTATGGTTAAAAGTTCAGGCCAAAAATACCTGCGTGTGAGGCCGTAGATTTTTCACTTAGCTCTCACAAACTCATGTATTTACTTCTCTTTAAACCACTTTTAAGCATCACAGTACTGAGTAGCACAGAGGAGCAAGCATATACAAGACCTACTCCAAAGGCAGATGCAGGAAGAAATCAGGACCCTGGTAAACCCTTCATCAATCACAACAAATTAAATCAATGGCCCTTTTACAGGCTCAACGCTCATATACATCAATCTCTGCTTTAGCAAGATACTTTACTTAGTTAGTCACTAATTAAAATACCAGTTTGAGTTTGTTCTGTTTCATATGAGAGTACACTCTCAGAAGGTTACAGTAGCTGTCATCATCTTCCCTGTTAGGAAGGGGTCTACGATGCCACAGGCTGGTCACTTGGCATTTGTATTAGAAGTCCAAACAGCAGAGAACTACTTCAGCTGTCTCACAACAGGCACACTTTTCCAGGGCTTCACACAACTAGAGGCTTCCTGTGGAACTACTTTCAAAGTTGAGAAAAATCCCAGTTTTCTTGCAACCTACTAGAGTGAGTCACCTCAGCCCATTTTAACATTTTGTAAAGAAACTTGTCAGAGGTTTTTTTTCAGAGCTAAAAGCAGAATTCACGTTTGTTGGCACTTAGTGTGGACAGCACAAAATCAAAGTAAATCACTGTTAGTGGTAGAAGCAGGGATCAGAGATTTCATAGAGATTAGGAGCTACTTCTAGGGGAGTAAACAAATCAATGGGGGTTTGAGCTTTCTAATGTGTGGTCCCCACACTTGACAGTAGCACTGGACTACTGTAATTAAACCAGTAACTAAGTAATTAATCAGTGGCAAAATGAGAACAACTGGTGAATCCCTCTTGTAGTTGTAGCACTGCCGTCAAACATGCAAGCACACAGCAGAGAGTAATGCTGCTGCTTCTCCATAGTCTGCAACGTACAGAGGATAATTCATTTCCTCTAGAATTAGTATTCACTAAGTGTAACTAATAAGAGCAGCAAGGTATTATCTGGGATGAAGTTCTATAAATGTGCATCTAGCAGAAGAGCCAATGAAGAAAACAAGAGTGGTGATCAAACACAGGCACAAAAGGCTGGTTTAGTTCAGAGTAAAGCCCTTGCTACTGCATCAGAGAGCAGAAATACAGGAGTCTCTCAGGGTCCCGAGCTGCATACTAGCAGCAAAGCTATCCACAGCAGTGTTTAAAGCTTACAGGAATAATGGAGAGACTCGGAAGAACTTTAGGAGAGGGGGAAAAATATCCTGTAAACTACAGAATAGGAGAAAGTGGAGGAGAAGAAAAATATCAGATAAAACACAAAATTCAGCATGAGAACAACCCTCTAGGAAGTATCATTTGGTTTTTCAGTTGTCCCTAGGAGAGCACCTCTACACATCAGGAATGTCTTTAGCAAGGAAAAAGCATGGAAGGAATACTTACCATTCGCAAGAGATTCAATATAGAAGCAATATCACAAGCAATAATATCCTCCCTCGCTTTTTAGCAGTTGGTACTTAATTATTTTTTCCCTAATGGATTTTTGTAGGCTTCTTTGGACCCACTTTGAATAGCTTTATCCACGTGCTTATGTACTCTTACTATGGACTGTCAGTCATCCCTTCCATGCGCAAATATCTCTGGTGGAAGAAATACCTCACTCAGGCACAACTGGTATGTATCTGTTTTACTCTCATTTTTAACTACCAGAAATCATTCAAATTGTGAGAGAGGACTAAATGAACTACAGGTAAACATTAAGCCAGTTAGAATTGAAGTATAACTAAACTATCATACAGCATAAGTCACTAGTGCAGCTTGATATAATTTAATAAAGGAAACTATATTCGGAACTGTTTTCTGTAGAAAAGAAATAATATAAACGCTTTAATCCACAAAATTATATTAATTTTTAACAATTGCATAGAAAATGACTGCACCTTAATTGTTGAAAAAACTGATTTAAAAGTCACAAAAATGTCTGACAGAACCAGCTCCAAGACAGACCTCCCCTGCTGGCCAAAGCTGAGCCCATCAGCAAAGCTGATGGAGCACCTCCATGATATCATATTTATTTAAGGGTGAAAAACATAACATAGCAGCTCAGAGAGGAGACAGGAAATGTGAGAAGCCCTGCAAGTACCCAGATCAGAAGAGGAGGGAATTAGCACCAAAAACTCCCCTGCAGCCTGTGGTGAAGATGCTGGTGAAGCTGTTGCCCTGCAGCCCACGGAGGTCCAGAGGGGAACAGAGATCCACCTGCAGCCCATGGAGGACCTCATGCTGCAGCAATGAACATGTCTGCCCTGAAGGAAGATACAGCCCATGGGGAAATAGGCTCCTAGGGACCCAAGGAGAGAGGATCCCACCCTGGAGCAGGTTTACTGGCAGAATCTGTGAGAGCCCTTGGGGACCCACATAGGAAAAGCCTGTTCCTGAAGGACTGCATGCTGTGGAAGGGACCCATGCTGGGGCAACTTGTGAAGAACTGCAGCTCATGGGAAATAACCACACTGGAACTCTCTCCCATGGGAGGAACCCCACACTGTAGCAGGGAAAGTGTCAGGAGAAAGGAGCAGCAAAGCCAAAGCAGTAGGGGCTGACTACAAATTCCATCCCCCTGCACCACGTGGAAGGAAGCAGAGGTTTGAAGTTCAGAAGTGAAGTTAAACCTGAGAAGAAGCAGGGGCTTAGAGAAAGGTCGTTTTAATTTTATTTCTTGCTATCCTTCTGTGTTATTAATTGGCAGTACTTGAAACTAATCTTTCTCAAGTCAAGTCTATTGTGCTTATAACAGCAATAGGTAAGTTTTATCAATTACCCTCCCTACCTTTATCTCAATCCGCACATTTTCATCTTATTTTCTCCCCCTCCTCTACCAAGGAGAAGAAGGGAGAGAGCTGCTGGGCGGGTAGCTGGCAGCCAAGCCAGGATAACCCACAACACAGTGGTACAACTACAAAATGCAGAATGATGTAAACAAACTTTAGGGAATACAGAAATTGACTGACTTCTAAAAGTGTGATCCTCCTGTTGCTGTACCTGAGGAGCTGAGCCACATCAAAAGTTTCTATCAACAAGATATAAGGCTTGATATGAAATAAAGTTCCTTTTACCTTTTTTTTTTTCTTGGGGCCTGTTCATGTTGTTTGGAAATTCAGATGTTTGCAGTGAGCTTTAAAATGCCTGTGTGGAAATTTGCTTAGCAAAAACTGCTTCTCTGAGCTGAGACCGTCCCTGCAGGTGAAACACACTTCCTTGCTGGAAATGCACTTCAGTACGCTGGTTTGAGGGCACGCTTATCTGGCTGAGGAGAATCAGGTGCACTAGTGTGGGCTGTGGCTCACAGTTCTAAATACAGACAAGTCTCTGCAATTCGTTCTCTGTCTCATTTCTCTTCCTTAATTCTATTAATGCAAGTGATAACCTATCTGAACTCCTTGGACCTGAGTTGTGCATTTTCTGTTCAGACTTCTAAAGCTATTGCCAGGAATCTTCAGAGTTTCCTCCATTTTCTGCCCAGCAACAGAGACAACAATTGTACCTGTCACAAGAACTGGAAGATAGAACAACACCTACTAAATCTGAGAGAAAAAAAGTAAAAGCTTCCCTTTTGTCAAACAGGCCTATAAACTTAATTTAAGAAATCTCTGACCCCTTAGGGTTTTATTGAATTTCACAAGAGCACCATTTTTACTTGATCCTCACAACACATTCAGAGGTTATAAAAGGGATGCTTTTCAAGAGTACTCAAACTTTCAGGGAGCAGTACTAGGGGACATTGCTGTGTCTGATTTAGCTAGCATTGACTCTTTCTCAGCAAATGAGCCTGCATTATCTTCTCTCCACAGATCCAGTTTCTGCTCACTATTGTGCACACACTCAGCGCAGCTGTGAAGCCATGTGGATTCCCATTTGGCTGTCTCATGTTCCAGTCCTCCTACATGGCCACACTGGTCATCCTCTTCATCAACTTCTACATTAAGGTAAGCAGTCTTCTGAGAGCTCTCTGACAAAGATGGGGAAAATAGAACTTTTTGGATAGCAGTCTAGGTGCACTCAGATGTAGGATGATCATCAGTGCTTAAAATACGTTAGTCTTAAAATGTATACATCATTTAACAACAGATATAGTCATATATCTGACATATATCACATATAGTCTGACAGAGAGAGAGAATTACTCAGTAGTGATGACCTCATCATTGCAGCTCAACTCTTCTGCACTTGTATAGCAGATCACGTACTGCATTCAGTACATAGGAGGTCTGAATTTGCTTTGGTGGGCAAATTTTTGAGTCTTTCTCCTCCTTAGGGAAAAAAAATAGAGTTCTGTCTTTGCCTGTTTACTTCAACATCTTTTAGCAGGGAGTGCTCTAGCCTGCCTGCATACATAAAGCTTTTAGTGTACAAGGCTTGAAATCTCTTGACACTGAGAAGTATTACGTTAAGGCTAGTAAAGTAACATCACCCACAGCAGTGAAAAGGCTACTATACTCCTAATGTAGTCTGAAGCAAATACATACATCTGCATCAAACAGCAGACAAGCTCCATTTACAGTTAACCATAAGTAGTGTTTTGGCGGGCACTGAATGGATCCAAATGCTTATTTTGGATTTTGCTTTTATAGACATACCGGAAAGCACCTTCAAGAACAGCTGTAAAGGAAACCCCTGTCGCAACAGAAATAAAGAATGGTTTCCATAAGGACTACTTTGCTGCTGCCAATGGATTGCAGAATAATAAGAAAGCACAATAAGTATACTGTTTCCTATGTTTTTTCTAAAGAGAAAAAGAAGAAAAAAGACTGAATTACAAGCTTTAGCTTAAAACCTATTTGATTACATTTATCAGTTCTTTGTACCAGACACTTATTAACGTACTGCTATTTAGGTTTTAACAAAATGAGTAGAACTACTTGTCTTGTCAAAGATCAACATCAGAACAAGGAAAGCCAAGATCTTTCTCATATGAAAAAGAAAACCTTTCTGATCTCTAATGCTGACACAAAAACGCCTTATGAAACACTTGATGGATAAATCCATCAATGCCTTCAAAAGGTTAGGACTCTGTTCAGACTAACGCGGGGAGCATTTTCTGTGCATGCAAGAGAGGCAAGGCTTCACAGTGCACCCACTACATCCAGCTGAACTGTGGACAAGGACAGGAAAATAAAGGAGGGGTGGCAGGAAAGGTGAGAATTGGACCTCTTCCATCACCATACCCCCTCTTTTCTTCTTCTCAGCAATTCCCTAAAGCACAATAGCGAGGTGCCCTTTGATCCTATAAGAGCCCTGGGGAAGGATGTGACAGAGGGCAGAGCCCAGGTGCACCATCCCATAGTTTTCAGGTAGTTGTGGCTCCACACTCCCTTTTACATAAGTGCCACCTGATTCAAATGCCAGGAAGGCTGGCAGAAGCTTAGTTTCAGGGGACTGGGCTTGTAGCCCCTGGCACTGCCCAGAATGGTATTCTGAACATAGAGAAAAACCAGCCCACTTTGAATGTGCTAACTTAACAGGAGTTCCAGGTAAATGGATTTTGAAAGAAATAGGGTCATGCCAACTTAAGGCAGATAAATCCATTGAGTGTAAATGTGTATAAAGTTAATCCTATACAAGCACTGCTAATTCAAAGCAAACTGTCATGCCACATATTAATAGACTGGAAGATGCAGAAAATTCGAGATGCAAGTTCAGCAGCGAGCCAAGCAGGTTATACAGGAATTCCCGTGGCAGGTGGCCCTTAGTCAGACTGGTCTTTGGCTGGAGAAACAGACAGGACTGAGGCAAAACTGCTGGAGGGGAAGTAAGGAGATATCTGCTGTCTGTAGTTATAAAGCTGTCTCCCAACAGTCCATCACCATTTTTGTTGCTTCAGTTCACTGCATTTACCCCCACTTAAATGGTTAGAAATGAAGAAAACCCAAGGTTAACTTAATGGGTCTGCCCTCACCCTTTTGTCATTTAGCCCACTTATTTTCCTCTACTAAACACAGACTTTTTTCCCCTCACAGTGAAGTACTTCTGATCTTTTCCATTCTTGTGTATAAAATTCTCTCAAAAAAACCAACTTTTGCAGTCACTCCAGCCCAGCAAGTCCCTTGGAGTGAAGCAGCTCTGTAAAGAAAATATGTCCTCTCACTCCTGTCACCTTTCAGAGTCCCAGGGCGGGAGGAGGCCAAAACACACACCCAGCCAGCACAGAGGGCCCAAGCAGCCACGAAGGCATGCATGCAGAGGAGGCTGTCCAATTCTTCTCCACCTCTAGAGGGTCAGTTATCTCCTCCAGATATCTCCATTTAGATGATCTGCCGTCAGGGGCTCTTGAAGACTGCAGGCATAAAGGTAGGAGGAAGGTTTATCCCAGGGAGCAGTGTGGACACAGAGCAGCCAGCCTCACCAGGAGCAGCCCGAGAGACCGCAGCCCTGAGGGCTCATGGATAGGAAGGAAAGGCTGAGGAAGTGGTACAGTAGGGGAAGAAGAGCAGATGGGGTTGCCCAGCAAAAGCAAGAGGAGAAAATGTCATGAAGAAGGGTGTCTTGTGTCAGAGTTCTGCTTGACTGTGTGCTTGAGTGTCCCATTGAATGCCATCTGTTTCCAGCCAGTTCCATTGCAATGGTGCAATGTGGACAAAACTTTTCTGCTCCAGTAGAAAACAAATTCCCAAAAAGCTACAGCAGAAGCTCTTAGCAGCCTGACTGCTGAACTTCATCATCGTGAGCCGGGTGACCAAAACAACTGCAATATTCAGACACTTTTACACCACCACACCAACCTAGATCTAACTGGTGCATATTCACATTTGCTCCCCTCTTCATAAAGTTGGTCACAAAGCGTCACTTGCTGAAAGTCAGTGTTTTGTTTTCTCTAACACTCAATAAAGGGGAAAGCAGCAACCCAAAAGAAAAAACCCAAACAAAAACACCCAAGAACCCTGCGTTCACAAAGCCTGGACACTGTATGCATATGCTATTTCTCACTGGCCCTTCCAGAACCTTTACAGGCATTTCTGATTGATACCGTAAAAATCCCAAAGTGTAAGAAATTAGAGGGTTTGACTGAAGGTGTTTTACGCAGCCCTGAGTAAAAGGAGAGCTTCAGAGCTCTGTAGAAATCAGCTTAATACTGGAAGCCAGGGTAAAGGCAGAGGAATCTGAAAGAGCTGACAAGACAGTGAACAAGGCAATGAGCTGGACCATTCATCTAAGGCTGGCAACACAAGGGTTGTGTGGCCCAGCATGGATTTTAGGCCGAGTGGAGTCCATAATCTTTTGATGGCAAAGCATGCATTTGACTATCAAGGTGGAAAGCGTCAGCTGTGCTAAGTGTTAAGGTTTACTATGGCAATCAAACCCACAGATACTGTCTTTGGTTCTGTTGAAACCTCATTCAAAAGAAAAGGAAATAAATAAATGCCTTACTTGAAATTCAAAGGGCTGGGGAAAAAAAAAAAGAAAAAGAAAAAAAAAAAAAAAGGAAAAAAACAGATGGTCTCAGACCTTGCAGATCCAGATCAGCCAGGAAGGCTGGAATCAGGTATGTTTAAAATTCTTCAGATATGTCTTAACATCTTCAAAATGCCGCAACTTTTAAGAAAGAGAAGTATTGACTTTTTAAACTGATTTTCCTGTAACACATAACACTGTAAATAAACAAATTTTACTATCAGGCTGTCTCCATTTTTCCTTAAGGAATCAAACTGGGCTGGTAATTGGTGATGTGAGACTGCTTTTGTTCTCCAGCTTTTTCAGAAGCATTTTAGGGCAGTCACATCAGATTCAAAAACAATCTCCATAACTTTATACAACACCTTCCCTGGTATTGGTGTAAAGTTTCCGTGCAGTTTTTTTACCCCCCCCCCCCCCCCCCCATCTATAAAATAGTGGGCTTTTGAACAAAGTTAATATTGAAGTAGAGAACTCACTTGTTTTCACTTGGAACATGATGGTTAAAAACAGGGGAGAGACAACAGAGAAATCAAAATCTCAAAAACAAATCTCAGGATCTCAAAAATAAATTTTCTAGTCTATTTTCCAGTGCATTACTCTCTTAGACACATTTCTACTGCCTATAAAAGCGGGACCTGTCCCTGGGTGCTCCAGCTAACCTCAGCACGCCTTACCAATAGCAGGATGGGCTGTCCCCAGGCCAGGGTAAACACACACAGCTCCTCTGCCCATTTCTACCCACAAAGGACATCCTTTTTTCTGGCTTTACGCAGCCTTGACATGAATTAGCTGTAGCCCTTGGTTGGGCCACTGCACTGGCACAGAATGTGCAGGTAAACAAGCACTTGGCACAGCAGCATCCTCTGAAAGAGATGCAGTATAAATAGCAGGGATTATAGTCAGTTTATTAAACCCCATTTAAAGCTTAAAATGCATAAAGCAATTGTCCTTAACCATAACTTTATTTCCCATTTATTTTTCTGGGTATTGATGCATGGTTTTTGCACCTCAGCACCTACATCTTTGTTGTTCTGGCTCAGAAGTGTCAAGGAAACGAATAGATTGAAAATTTTGCTATATATATTTGCACTGAAAGGAAGAAAATAAATACCTGGATTAATAGCACTTTAAAAACATGAAGTGGGAAGGGCAAAGGAAACCTGCCAAGGTCAGCTACCTACCTTCCAAAAAGTAATTTTAGGATAACCCAATTATACATCTGTTGCAGAAACCAAATGGACTTCAGACCTCCAGGAGGTTTAAGGTCAAACATGTTTAATTGACCCAGCAGTGCAGGAAGTGGCAGGAGATGGGCTGTCCAAAGTCAGAAAATGTCATTTCTGTCCCAGATGTGGTCTCCAAACACTTCTACTGCCTACAGATGGAAAAACCATTAGTAAAGTCCAAAGTTTCCACCTTAGGCAGTTCACAGGTTATCAAGCTGGAGCACACTGAGCTTCTCAGCGCTGTTTCAGTGGCTTTGCAGAATTCAGTGCACAGGAGCAACTGCAGTGCAGGCAGCTCATCTCTATTCTTGGGTCTGCTTCACATCAAGCACCTTGGTAGACCAGGTTGCATCATCATGTTGGACCAGGTAGTTGGGAATATAAGCAAGGAATTTAGGCATTTACGTAGGAATTACTGGAAGGCTCACCTTGGAACTAGGAGTGGGAGCAATACGGCACAAGGCATCCCTTTTCATTCACAAGTGTGAGCTCTGGATCACAATAAGAAGCAGCAGTGCAGACCAAGCCTTGTCACACTCCTACAGCCAGATCCTCAGGTTACTACTCAAGTAGTGAAAGCCCCAAATATAGGACCTGGCTCATCCAGGCAGTAGGATAGTGATGGGATCAGATTATTCAGGCTGGTATCTTAAAGCCTGTTTTGGTTAATGACACTGCTGGGGCCGTCATAGTATGCCACCACGCTAGTGGGACCAGAGCCTGCTGAAAACTCTGCTGCTAAGATGCAAAACTAGTTTTACTGCTCGCAGAGGTTACAGCTTCATCTCCCAAAAGTCATGGCTGCTTCAGCTGAGTGCTTTGAGAGCCTAGAGTCAAACAGCAGCTGTAAGGACACTGAAGAGTAGCAGAAGGATGCAGTGTAGCCAGGTCACTAGGGCCAGCCCTCAAAGAAACAAGCACAAGCCAGTGGTTGTAAAACCAGCACATCAGCCCTTCACATTAGGAATAGCAGGGGTAGACCAGTAGAGCTGAACCTTTGGAAAGGGCAAGGTTGAAGAAGTCTTGTCTTTTAAACTACCCCAGGAAGAAAGCACCAAGCACATCTTGATGTGGATGAAAAAACTTCAGTTCATGCCAACTCTAGTCAGGA